GCTTTCAAATGGGATTATTATTAGCAGTCAGCATACATACTTGAGCGTCTTCAGAAAGAAATATTAGAGGTATGTTAGAGGTACACAAAATTTCTGACTAAATTTCCTTTAAGCTATGCATGTACACTCAGATTAACTTCCATAAATAATAAAATATGAAACAGTAAATGTCAATAATTGAAGAGGATAAGTTTCAGTTCCTGAAACACGAGCACATAGTATCATTTTGATGCCCTAGGGTTCCTCAGATGTCCCTGTGGGACTGGCAGATGTGACACACACAACTTCAGAGACCTGCATCCTCCTGGGGCTGCAGCATGAGGTGAAGCAAAATGCTTCAAGGCACCTAGAAATTACATTAGATAGAATTCTTTTCTGTGTGATTATATTTTGCCAAACTGAAGTTATAAGGGCTAGACTAAGGAATATCAAGGTTAAGGAAAAAAAAATCTCGAAGCACATTTGTTGTTTTAAAAACAACTGAAACAGTTGAATATTTAATCTTAAAACTTTTTTAGACAAGCGGTTTAGAAACTGATTTTCAAAAGCAAACTAAAACCCACAAGTCTAGAAAATATACCCTACTACTCAATATGATGACTGCATGCTACCCTATGATGCTTGACCAATTTGCCACAGCATTAATATCCAAATTGTAAAGGACAAATTTACATATTAGGACATGAACTTGCAATAATGGGTGATTTTACAAAGGACAATGGAAATCAGAACTGAAATGTTAATCATGAAGCACACTGGGAAGGAAGTGACAGGTCAAATCATTTTAGATTTATTGCTTAGTAACAGATTTGTAAAAACTACCAGATACCCAAGCACTAAGGAGACAGGCAAACCTAAAAGGTTTACTTGATCACGAACGTCCAAAGCAGAGTCCACCTCACAGAGGATAAGCTGAGGTTCACAGACAGGTACTGCCTGTTAATAGGTCAACTACAATAAGTGTAAAAGTTCACTTTCTTAAGTCTGATGAAGAAGCAAAAAGTCAAACTGTAAACGTCTAGACAATAAAAACAAATGCTCTATCTAAGGTAGTTACATGTGTTAACTATGTTTCAGTGGATCAGGAGAAAGCAGTCTTACAAATCATAAGCAACTGCTCTCAACTTCCAACCTGCTATTTTGAAGTCTTTCTTTACTTCAGACCTGTCAAAGGACATCTTTTCACAAAAGCTTGTCTACTGCTTTTCCAACTGACCTAATTAAAAAGAGTACTGCTACATAGAAATATTGTCTTCTCAAGAGTAAGCTGGGCACTGTTTCAGTAGTCTATGAGAAAGCAGTCCTAATCGATGATAAAGTTTCATCCAAGTATTAGATGCTCTGCCATTAAGTCTGTTTCCCACAGGATGTTCTCCTTCCCATATGCAAAACTGCAACATTATATTATTACATATGGCAAATCAGCCATGTGTTGTTCCTAAAACTTCAGGAATTGAAGTCTCACAGCACAACTTTAATGGACTGAAACTCATTTACAAATATGAAGACTCACAGATGATTTTCCATGTGTTGCTTAATGAGTTCTGTACAGAAGAAGGATGAATAAATACTGTTGTGTCTGTCTGGTGGAACCAATAAAATGTTGATTTATAATCTCCAGTAAATACATCATCTCAGCTGGTCCACAATAGATACAAACAAAATACCTCATTTAATATCTCCGTTACAAATATATCAACACCCACGACATCCCACCAACAGGGCAAGTGTTACAGAGCAGACCTTATCTTCCCATGGGTGCTACTGAGCTATGAATATGCAACAACCCAGAGGGTCCTGGCAGCGTTTCTGTGCCCTTGTCACCACCACCAAGGCTGTGCATCTCCAGCCCAGTGGCTGCACAGCAGCTTCCCTTGGCTGCATCAACTATTGGGTGAGGTGAACTCCAAGCCCCTCATCAGCAACTCACAGCTTGTAATTAAGCGCAAGTGCCCTGATAAATGACACGGAAATGGCTTCAGCAATAAGAAAGTCTGTGCCTTATGCGTCACTGTGAAGAGATGAAGGAAATTTCCCACTACTAGATAAAAAAGGGAAGCCAGTGAATACTTTAAAAAGGATTCCCATCTCCAAATCACTACCTGAAGCAATTCTAAAATTGGCATGTCTGGTACCAGATTCGAGGAAGTGCAGTAGATTTCCATCCAGATATTCATGATCAATCCAGGCTCAGAAAGGCATACAAACATCTGCTGAAATCGGTGATTATCTGAATAAATGCTGAAAGGTTTTCTTGTTCTGGGTTTCTGTGCTTTTCCTTTTTGTTGTTGGTGGTGGATTTTTTAAAAAAGACTGTATTGATAAGTTCCTTTCTTTGTAAGGGTGTTTTTCTGAGCTATTCTAAGTAGATACCATGCCATTACGGATTTAAGCAGCCAGTTACAAGCACCAATGTATCTCCTTCTAAGTTTTAAAACACTGTTCTGGGAAGGCTCTAGCCTTCAAGTCAGAGTTTTGCATTTTACTACAAGAATATAAAGAAGCTTTTCTTCTGTGCTTTTAGAAACACCATATGAGCTCAGCAGTCAGAGGAATGGCAGGGACCAGGGTAACCTGGAGTCCCCTTTTGCAAGTCTATCTCAATTGCAGAGCATTTACAGGAGTACTTTAAACCACCTCCTCAAACTCTTGCTCCAAACTTAAGAGACTGACGATGGGAAAAAAATAAGTTGGAGACCAGAACCGATGAGACAAATTCCTAGTTTATTTTCACCAAGTCCTACACTAATTTTTGCTTTTAAGCTTTTACTGAAAACTATCATTTTCTATACTACAATAGGCTCCACAAAAAAGCATGTTGCTAAGGATATAAACTGTCCCACTGAAATTAACAGGACTGCTCAGGTATTTGGGCATGCAAATATAAGCTGATAATCTAGATAAAGACAGTGTGCCATGTAAAGACAAATCCTGAGTCTTCTCTGATGTACTTTGGTTTGCATTACTTTGCAGCACGGGATTACCCATAAGAGTTGTTAAGCCCTAACTCAGCCTTTTCGCCTCAAAAAGCCACTTCCCATCTCTGGTCATTGCTGCTCCCTTCTCCTGATATTGCTTGATTATACCCTTTTTAAAGAAGGATGACCAAAACTACCCAGAGCATTCAAGAGATGGACACATCAGGAATTTTACTGTTTTTCTATCTGCTCTACTTCCCCCACCCCACCCCGCCACCCCCAGAAACACCTACCATAGCATTAGGGATTATTCAGAAAGTGTTGCCCTAGTAAGTCTCAGGATGCAAGCAAAGCAAGGTTATTCAGATGACACACTATCTACTATGAAACAGTGCAATACAGATAGACAAGCTTCTGGGTACACAACCCAGAAACATTGAGGTGTATAAAACAGGGCTTCCAAAGTAAACAAAAGCTATTTTTCCACTGGCCTACCTATGGCAAATTGCTGTTCTGGTCAGAGAAGCAGCTGGAGCAAGGTAGCCGCTGGGGGCAACTCCAGGGGAAACAACTACAGCTCAGTAAAGCCTTACACACCACGGGAAGGGAGGTCAAAGCAGAAGTCAGAGAAAAGATGCAACAGGCAACAATTCCAGTTTTATCTGTCCTGAACTAATTCTACAGATAAAGTATATTCTTACATAAATTAATGGCTGTCTTTAATGGTGTAATATTAATTAACTGCATAATAAAGCAGAATCACAGCTTCTACAATTTGAGAGTGGAAAGGAAGAAGAGAAAAAAAAGAGCAAGAGTGAGCTGAAATCAAGGAATAAGTATCTCCTATCCAAAATATCCCACAGACAAAATGGGGAAATAAGAATTTTCATGACATCACATCTTTTAAAGTGTATGCATGTTTCAAAAAGAAAAAAATTAAAAATCTCCTACATAAGAGCTGACATATACTCTGAGCAGTCAAATCAGCCTCTTAACATTTAAAACACTCATTTGTAACAGACTGGCTTTAAAAGCAAGAGAAGGGACATCTGTAGAAGTCACACAATGACAGTCAGTGAAAACCATTTTAAGCTTTTTCATAAAATCTGTTGCTTTGGCAAGGGGGGGGGTAATCTGCCCTTCAATAAAGGCTAAGTTGAATCAAATCATTTGCCTTCAGGAGAGCTGAAGAGGATAAGTGAGTCCAAGGATAAAGGGACAGAATTGGAGAGCTGGTCAAGCAAAAATAAAAGTGTCAGGGAGGATGGTATCGCATATTTACAAAGAACTTGAATTTGGATAGACATGGGAGGACAAGAGCTCCTCACTTTTCAACTGTTTACTACTTTTGCTGACTGTCAGAAGGAATTTTTGGTTCAGGTTTCATTGTGAAAGGATTGCTGCAGACATTTCCTCCATACTGCTTTGAAGATTCATCTCTGGATGAAAAGTATTTCCAAGTACCAGCCTGAATAATGCTCGACTTCATTTATTCATAGTAATGATGACATCCAGTGGCCACCAAGTTAATCTCAGCCTACAACAGCAAGATAACCTCTTGTATCAGAATAGATAATCTCTTTCCATAAAGGTATATATTAACTCTGTTCTTGCACAAGTCTAAAGTTAGAGTACATTATTACAAGGAACACTATAATCATTGTGCAAGTATCTTCCTATTCAGGTCCTTACATAAACTCTAATCAAGTCTTTTTCAGTTATAACTCACTTTTAAAAATTATAAATAAATGAAAAATGCAAAAGACTCTTAAGCACTTTCATGGTACACAAAGAAACTGGGAATCAGCAAAAATAAATATACACCAAGAAAACAGGAGTGGGAAAACCTGCATATGCACCCACACAAGCCACTCAAGCTGTTAAAACTGCTTGCCACTACTACCAAATTCAGTCACATGCATGCTTTTCAAAGACACGGAAGAAACCACTTTTCAAAGTGCTTCAAAACGAAAAACAATGTTTTTGCTTTCCACTTTTATAAGGAACTCAGTCAAAATCTGAAAATACAACACTTTAAGCATGCTTGTGCTCTTTTAGAGAAAACATCTGTTAAATACTTACTTGCCCAAATATTTCTGGTAGCCCCAAAACTTGACCAGTGAAAACACCAATACAGATGAAAATCGCTGTGACCTGACCCAATGAACCACGAATTTCCTTAGGAGATATTTCACTCAAATACATGGGAAGGGCACTCAGAGAAATGCCTACAAAGGAAGGAAAAAAAACACGTATTGCATCAAATAGCCTTTGCATCATGTCAGGTAGGAAACAAATGTCTCCTGAAAGGAGTCTGAGTGCTAATCTGCTCATGAGAGCGGCACAAAAACCACACAATGAACAAAATCATATCTATCCATGGATAATATGAATTATCTTCTCTAACGTCTAATTACTCTTGCACCACTTAATAACCATGAGATTGATTATCTGTTACAGATCTTCAGTGATATGCGTAGGCTGCTATTTGATGAGTAGCACCAAAGGTTACTCAGAGATGAGAATCACTAGGAGAACAGAATTTACGTTTTAAATTTGTTCACTCCAAAGCAAGCAAAATCACATTAGCACTGGTACTGGTAACGAACAAAAACCCAAAGGCATCAGGCAGAGAAAGCAGTCACTGTCAGATGAAGTATTTTTACTTTAAAGAGCATTAGCAGATGTTCCTCTCAATACAAGCTTGCAGCTGCAAAGAACTCTTAATAGCAGGCATAAAATAAGGGTGAGAATGCTGCTCAAAGCCAGGAGAAAACAAATGCATAACCCTGGCTAGTGCAATGGCAACTTACAATGCTTCAGAAGTTTGGTTGTTTAGTGGTAATCTGAGACAAAAAATAACATTCAGCATCAAAATTACCCTTGAATTTCACATTGCAAGTGACAGACACATCCACTTTCAAAGAACTGGATAGTTTGTGCTAGGAAGGTGGCTTAGCAATGCAAAGGTCAAAGCATACTCCATTGTTTAGTGTCAGGTAATTACACTGAAAGGATAAAAACATCTTAAGTCATCCAGTCTGTCTCCACTTTAGGTATATAATTCTCACCATCTATCAATCTGTGAAGTCACTGAGAACCTCACTGCTAGCTGCAAGACTACTCTGGTGCAGCAGCGCCTCCATGATTCACTTTTAAACTGGGAAGTCTATGTTGCTAGGAGTGAATGATGACACACAAAACCTTCCACTTAATCCTACTGGCATGAGCATGGGATCCAAGATCTTCTTAACACAGAGCAGCAAGCAGCTTTAATAAATAGCCTACACTCTCCTAGCCAAAGCTTTTTCATGGCATGAACACTGATACATTCTACAGGGGCTGGAGGAGGAAAGGGGTAAGAACAACCAGGGTAGACGGCAGTGGCTAGCATCCATCTTGGTGTCTTCTCCAAACATCAGATCCTCTGACCCTTATTCTGGTGGTTTGCTCTAGTGCGATGAGTCCCTGGCTAGTCCTGGCTCCCATGGCTAGTTCCTGAAATGCCTTTTTAATGTAAAGAAAACTAACTGGAGGAGAGGAGAAAGATTATGCACAGCGCAAGCCTTTCAGGTACATACAGCATGGTAAAAGCTTACCTGCATCAACACCCATTATAATGCGGCCCAGTATCAGCATTTCAAATGACCCTGCCAACAAGGAGAGGGCCATCAACAACGCAGCTGTCACTGCAAACACATTATTGAGGAGCAACGTACATTTCCTAAAAGGAAAAGATATTTTACATAGATACCAGCATCATGACAGTTAAAGCCAGTCATATCCAAAGTACACTAGGCTACTATTCTTAAATACCCATAAAAAAAACCCAAAAGTGCCTAACAAACACTGCCTCTTACGTATTGCATAGAGTTCCAAAATACAACACTATACCCAAATGGATACAGTTTCAAACCTACGTCACAACTTTAAAATAAAACATATCACAGTTAACTAAAGAGATGTACTTCAAAGGCACGGCAATTAGCCATCCTACGCATCCTAAGAACCCAAGTGCCATGCCCAAGACTCTACATATGAATATAAACAAGCATACTCTGAGTAAATGTATGTATGCAGGAACCAGAGAATATACTTCAGATTGCAATAAGCTGATATAACTATATGCATTTTTAATGCTTTTTACCGTTTTGACAACTGCTGATATATTTATGTCATTATAATTCATCCTTAAACCCATGATATTAAAAACATACATTGAGGAAAATTACTTACTACTTGTAGACTTAGGAAAAACACTTGGGTTCTCAAGAGTGATAAAAACCAACCTCTTTGCAAAAATTGTTGAAATTAACCAAAATATGGAACTTGGAGAATTTCTGCTATCTTATACACATTTCTCCACAAATATGAATTTAAGTGGCTTTTTGCTAAACCAAAGCCTGCAGGCGAATGGCTGGAGAAGCCACTATCATCAGGTTCAGCCTTGAAAGTGATACCTGCTGCAGATATGATGGCCTCTCCACAGCACATCACAACGAGATAGCTGCTTTGCACTGCTTATGATCTAACACAAGACAACACACCATAATTTTCACAATTATGTGGCAAGAGAATGATCATATCCTACGTTTTCCATCTGTGAGTCACCTCACTTAGTTATACGTGGTAAAGCATGAAGCTTTGTCTTTACCAATCACATAATTAAGCAGTCTTGTTTTGGCTCTAGAGATACAACTTAATACTGAAGCCTTCAATCCCACTCACGACAACATATGAAGGAAACAACAAATTTGAAAACAAATTTACGTGGAGATAAACATCACTGATGATGTGAATTATGAGGATTCTATTAACTTTGACAGTAAATGGCACAGGCTGAAAATATACTGATTTTATTAAAAAACGGAAGTAGTATTAAATTTGTAAGTATTCTCAATGGATATTCAATTTCTATATATTGTAATTTCCATGCAAAAGAACAGCAGTGACCAGAAAGGCTGTCTACCCTTTTCTTTTCCAAAGCAGGTAACAAACTAACCCAGAGATCCTCATTCTTCTCAGGTTCAACATGTAGGTACCAACTAGAAATTTCCCACCATTGAACCAGTCATCCAACTTGTTACGACAGATCAATAAATTTTTGATAGGAAACATTTTTAACAGTTGTATTTGTACACAGTTTTCCTGCTTTCTAGTGTTTTTTGAACATTGTTTGAATGAAGAACATTGAAGACCAAACAATGACATACAGCTCATTTAAAGTATGTTTATACAACATAACTGTCAAGAGTGATGACTTTAGAATTTGGAAAAGATTTTCAAATGCATATAATCAGAGAGGGCTGAAGTGATATAAATAATATCAGAAATAGATTCAAAATATTCAATATACATATAAGTGCTATACATTTATCAAAAGTTATTACTTTCTTCTTCAATTTAAATAAAACCTACAAAATATTATCTTTTTAGTAAAAGTTGGCCAGGAACTCCTTATTCTATGCAGCAAATGATAGAAATGTGCAGCCTAACTAGCCCAGGTTAAAGAAAAGGATTTTGTCTTTGCCAGATTGAAAAAAAATGAAAACAAGGAAGTAATACACTGTTTAGAGAGTTACTCTTAAAGCATGTAAATTTTTGGTAGTGAAAACACTGTGCTGGATGTCCATGACAAGGATTTATTTCCCAATACCTGATCAGCAATTAAATACTTATGCTAATTGGCAATAAATTAAGTTAAATTCCTCAAGTTGAGTCTGTTTTGCCCGTGACAGTAATTGGAGTTTTCCTTTTCTTTAGTCTGACCCATGTTCAAACTCGCTCCTGTTCTTCCTGTTTCTCCCCAGTCCTTCCATCCCACATAGGAGTGACAAGCAGCTGGCTGGATGCTTGGCTGCCACCTGGGGCCAAGCCACCACAAACATAAACAGTGGGAACAACTTCTCAACATAGCTCCTAAGAAAAAAATACATCGAAGCCCTCCAAACTACCTATGCTGTCTAAGTTTACTTCCAGTCAGGTCATAATGTATTCAAAAAGGCTACAATCATAAAAACCCCTATGCTTTCCTGGTCATGTAAATCAAAATAGTATTGCCTTAGCAACAAGGCATAGTAGAAAGAAACAAATCAAAAAAAGCCAACAAACCACTGCTTATATAGCTCTAATAAAGATACCACACTTTATAAAGCACTGCAGAAGACACTCTCCCTTGGGAAAGTCCAACCAATCTTGTCAGATCATTGTGCTAACCACACTCAGAAAGCATAAGCATGTAAACTTCAACACTAAGCCACCATAAGAACAAACACACAATGATGAGTTCGTCAGCCTAATCATTTCTCTCACATCCCAAATCTCAAACTCATCAAGCAACTGTCCAAATGGTACATGAAACCTATTGAAATACATACACCATACCCTGTTCTCACATAGCACATTTCATTTTCTAGTCTTGCTGAAGGTTATAGAACACACCAATATCTCTTTTTTTGTAACAGGGTAAACAGAGGAGTAGAGGACTCAACCTAAAGCTAATGTGCAAAACAGTGCCAGGCCTCGGAAAGGGAACCTGGACTCCAGTTCCATGATTTTCCTACAGCTATTGCACTAAAAACAGTAGACTGGCATTCATTTACACATGAAGATCTCTGTTCCTTCCATTAAATAATTCAAGATTTTCTCCAGCCAAAAGAAATAAAGCATTTATGCATTCCAAAAGGAAGATGCTTTCAAAAAACTTGTGATTAAGCACAGAGCATTTGTCACAAGCAGAGCAGCTACATCCTAAGCCTAATGGTAAGTCTTGCAATTTAGTACCAAAACTGGTTGTCTCTAAGAATGGCTTCCTGTTCTGTTGCAGGAATGTCACTTCCAACCCTGTACCCAGTCTGAAACAGTACTAAAAGAAGAGCCATTTGCTCAATAGAAATCAGTTTCTATAACTATCCCAGCTGAGACAGACAGTTCACCCAACAGCTGGACACAAACAGAGCTAAGCGTTAAAGATTTTTTCTTCCTCTTTCCTTTTTATTTAGTTTGGATATTGAAAACATTTGAGAATCTCTTTCTCAGAACTGTCCTTGGCTTTTGGCAAAATCTCATATGATTAATCTCTTGTAATTTCAAAAGTATAGTAAGGAAACTAGGTGTTTAAATAACAAGCTGTGTGTTCTTTAAACTAGGTGTTTAAATAAAAGCCAGTAACAGATTGAATACTGGATCATCATTTCAGCTACAGTAGATGACATCTGAGTAACAAAGCAGTAGATTGCTAAAATAATCCAGACAAATTCCCTTAATTGCTTCATACTCAAACCAGCTCACTGTGCTAGAAGGAAGGCCCTGTCTCTCTCCTGCAAACCTCCTCCACTGCCTCCTTAGCAGTGGGTAAGCAGTCCCCTGAGCATATCCCTCTGGGCAGTCAGGATATGCAACAGCAGCTGCTCTTTGGCAGAAGAGAATTTAAATTACAAAGTATCAAAGCCACATCTGAACATGGGATTTATGCTTATGTGGATGAAGGCTGTCTAACAAAATTACTCTATATCTTCTAAAGTGAGTACGGCCTAGGAATCTGGTAATTTGGAAATCACGTTATTAACCGTACAGCAGCATGATTCAAGAGTGCTCTTTTTGAAGTAATACATTATTTCTGACTAATGTTTTTGATCTCCTTTAGTTCATTATTCTGCGTCAGTGTAAGTGGAGCTCCACTTCATCATATATACAACCCTCCAACCTACACTTAAACAATTTAACAGCGAAGTATATTATTGTTCTGCCAACATTTCATAATGTGCTCCTCAATTACCGTACCGATAAGCCAGTCTGGTTTCCTGGACCAGACAACACACTGCAGTGTGAACAGCAAACTCAAGACCCCCACTGATGAGCAGCCTCTACCTAGTGTCCCTGAGAGACGCAATCCCTTCCCATCACTAATCAAGTACTCGTACACCGTATCTACGAGGGCTGTTTTCATGGTTTAACAGGGATAAACATAATAAACAGGGGCAGGGCCTGCAAGATCAAAGTGCTATTTATATGGCTGAGGTCAGCCACCACTTTGACAAACTTGTACACAAAGTCATTCTACTCTTCACTAAAAATTCAAGACTTCTATGAATGCATTTTTTAACTTCATTTTTTAATAAAGTAGAGAAGACTCAGAAACAATTTCAGGAATTAATCAGTCTGAGTCAGGGATAGTTTAAAATATTTAAGAAGCGTATAAAAGTCGAATTGATGATTTGGCAGAAGAAATTGCAAAACTAAGAAAAAAAAAGAGAATGTCACTATGAAAAATATTTAAGAATTGAAAAGCAAATGGTGAAGTGAAGGGACAGAATAGGTTAATGAAGAATGCATAACAGATTTACAGACCAGAGAATACTGACCTGCTATAAGCATGAAATGGAAGAACCTGAAACCATACTCTTTGAGGTGAAAAATGGGATGTGGAAGAGTTGGGATAATGACAAACAGGCCTTGACGCTTCTTACAGTGATGGAAATAGTCAAAATGTGGAACAAGGATGTAAGAACAGTGGAGGTGGATGCTTATATTTAAGCTGTTGTGATGACTTTTTCCAGTGATTTAACTGATAAAAAATTATTAAATTAATTTACAATTAATGAAAAGCCAGACAAGCAGTTAAGATGAATGTTTTAATGGTTCATTTTCATGCCTTTCTAAATATAAGTAAATTACAAATCACTTTTAAAGTTCTCTTTAGAAGACTGTATGAAACAAAAATTTTGCAGAAATATGTAATTAGCACCTCCACCAAAAATGCAAACACACATCAGCACAAACTTGGTCAAATATTGCATGGTTAAGAACAGGGAAGGCATCCCCAAACTTGGGGATGACCAGGCACAAATTTCACCTTAGTTCAGCTCTTCAAACTGTATTTTAAGTTCACACAAGGAAGGAAAAATAAAAGAGCAAATTTTTATTGCCATAAGACAACAAATGTTGTTGAGAAAAAAATGAGATATTGTTAGCTTTTTTTGTGTACAGTAAGATACTCAGCAGACTCATGAAACAAGAATCTGTCAATCCTTTGTGAAATCTTCCCTGATTTATAGTATTTTCTTTTTGCACTCTTGACAATTCAACCTCCTTGACATCTCAACCCACTGCTCATTCAGAGCAAATGGCTTCTGCAACTCAAATGATGCACAGTAAGGCCAGAGAGAAAGGAACTGATTTTACCTGGAAATTTGGAGCTCTCAGAAATGAGCTTTTATAATTTGAAGATGATTAAATTTGCATTCTAGTGAAGAGGGTTTTTTAGAAAGATAAAGGTGAAGCCTTCTAGAGAGACTCAGTGAGAAACTACTTTAGAAACTAGAAGTTTTCCAAAACACTTACCGTCCAAAGAACTTCACAATTGGAGTAACAATAATGGCACCCACAAGGCCACCAATGGCAAAAATAGAAACAGTAATGGACCAGAGGAGAGTCAGTGTGTTTTCATCCACCGAGAAGCCGTATCTTCTCTCCCAAGTTTCATTGTAGAACTTCTTGATATACTGAAAGAAAATACAACAATAATATATGTAAAAATCACACTTTAAGAACACAACTGAGAGAAACAGAATGAAAAAAAAACCCAGTGGCTTGCTTGCAAGAATCATCCTTGCTTTTCCATCTCTCTTCCAAAAAATGAGGCCTCACTTCCACAAGCAACTGCAATCCAGACTAACTGAACCAGTCAAAGCATACATATGTTTAACTACATGCAAATCATAAACAAGATGGGGAAAAAAAAAACCCACAGGTAGACATGAATGTAGAAGAGGCTTATAAAACAGAAACTCCTATAAAGCAAGGATGGTACCATTTAGGCTGCCGGTAAACATTAACAACAGTTTGTTCTAGCCTTACTGCTTCTCTGCTTCAAATTTATGTAAGTTACTTTTTGAACGAAGTTCAGGCTCCTAAACAAGGTAAGCAAGTTCTCCTTAGTAATGAAAGATGTATCAAACACGAAATCAGACACTAAGATCCTGATACGAATCTATCTGCCAGACAAGCTGGTTGTCTTAAGAAATGAAAACCTGAGACCTATCTTCTAACTCTTCAGCTATCCAGAGGCCTACACTTTTCACCCATGGCAACTTAATTTCCTTAAGAGTCTTCCACAGGGGCCCTTCCAGGGTACCTTTTGCAAGTACAAGTGCCTCAAATCTCTGGAGAACTCCAACAGATGGCTGAGTTGCAGCTCTCCTTTGCAAAAGCCATGCCAGCTCTTCCTCAAATACTCATTTTTCTTCTACAGTTTCTGGTAGTTTGTCAGGTGCAAATAACTAATTCTTAGCATTTATGTTCCAAATCTGCCTCTTAAGAACTACTTTTTTTTTTCTTAAAGTCACATTTACAGTCTCAGTCTCTCTGTTACTGAAGCTGAAAAAGAAAGAAAAAAAAAAAAGAAGCTGAACCATGATACGAAGTCTACATTTTGAGTTATTTTTTCCAGTCTTGAACAAATGTTAAGGTATTCTGGCAACCTGACACAAAATTATCACTAATTTTATTCCTTATTTCTACTGAAATTTCAGCTTCTCCAATACATGCCCTATAAATAAGGTTCCAGAGTGAGACTTCCCCAGACTGCCAATCCAAAACATTAATTCAGGTTTCTTGTTTGGTCCTTGTATTTTCTGAACACCCTTTTCAGTTTCATCTATCAGCCTTATATCCCCAAGACCTCTGTCTGGATGATTTTTGTGCTTGCTGAAAGTACCCAAACTCCAGGACCAGCTCACTTTTTTAGCTTTCAATGTGCCAGAGTTTATATTCTCTTTCAGCTTTCCTCACATCAGCACAACTGCAGATTTTTGAAGGATGCCTTCTAACAGCTACCCTTCCCTGATGTTTAATTTCACCAAAGTTTATTCATCTTTCTAAAAAGGTAAAGATGTCATAGGTCCAGTATGATAGTTTTACATAGTCTCTGTATTATCTATTTACTTTCTTTTTAGTTAAGCTTCCTCATTTTTATGCTGTTCCCATTTCAAAATCAAGCAGAGCTGTGATGTCCGATGCTCTGGTAAGGATACAGCACAAGGTGGTCACTACTGCAGAAGGGCACAGCACGCTTGTGTAACACTCTGACCCATTATGTGCCATTGCTCCCCAGCAAGCTCTACAGAATCTCAGCACTTTTCCCCAGTTTCTTCTTCGATTTCCTCCAGGATGTCACAGATTTATGCCTTGAATTAAAAGGGGGACAGGAATATTTCTCCCATCCTATCTCATATGTTTCTATACAAACAGACAGAAATACAAACCAAACAAAAAGTAAATTTGGTTCTTGGTCCATGTAGAAGAATCTCACAGTAAACTTCCAAATGAACCTGCTATTAAATCAAGTAATGCATCTTACCTCCCTAACACCAATACTCAGATTATATTTAGATTCAGATATCTTATTTGAAGTTCATATCTGATAGTAATGAATACTAAGGGAATTTTTAGAACACTATTAGCATTTCTTGCTAATGATAACGGCTAAAAATAGTATGCAAATTATTCTCCTCTCATGTTACGACTAATTTTCTCAGCATAGCTTTGTTATTTACAAGGAGATATCAAATAACTGCAAATATTAAAGAAAAGAAAGTACAAACTATAACACTCAATAGTAACAGATAAATGTGCTGGCACATACATCACCTGTGTCTGGATTCCCATTGCCAATAAATGGGAAGCTAACAACATATGCAGGTTTTGAGGAGATGCACACAAAACAAAACAAATCTGCTCCAACAAATATACAGGATTTCAATCCACTGAATTCTGTGGAAAGGCTTCTTTGGGATTTTAATCAATTGACTGAACAATGCTAACAGCATAAACATGTACACAAAATTTTAGCCTCTAACCAAAGCCTAAAAGAAATGGTAGCTTACTGATACCAGCGTTGTTCTGCCTCAATTCGCTAAGACAGTAGTGCTGGAGTGGGAAATATAAGGGGATTATAAGGGATATATATATTTATACATAAATATATATGTGTATATATATAAAGTTTATGGGAAATGTTTTTGTTGTCTCTTTAACTGTAAATAACTTACCTCAAGGGAAGACATGAGCTGGTCTCTAGAGAAGAAAAATTACCTTACCCATAGTGACAGGGGGTACTCACACACAGTGACTATCAAACTGGCTGACGCAGCAGGCTGTACATTTTTGCAACAGTCCCGATTTCCATGTATCAGCTCCAAAAGGAATGCAGAGCTGCAGCCGTCCGCAGGAAGGGGACAAGCGTGGCACAGCAATACGCAGCAGAGACTTTGCTTCCCGCAGAGCACAAAACACCATAGTTCTGCAGACCTTGACCACAACCAGTCACACAGAATCACAGAATCACAGA